GCATGATGAACCTAGCATGGCAGCTACCATGGTCGTCCTTGCCTCGTCCTATGTTTTATGAACCGCAGCAAAACGAATACATGGCTTCTTGGCGTATCTGCATGTTTGCGGCCGAAGCAAGAAGAAAGCGATGTAGCTATCAAAGCGACCAAGTTTATACGTGTTTGTACCAGTTGTTATAAGCAGTCGTCGACTTACTGAGCTGCTAGTCGTCGACTCGTACGGACGCTAGTAGGGCAGCACGGGCACTTCCTCACCAGGAAGCAAGATGTAGTGCGTCGGGTCCTTCCGCAAGGGGTAACCCTCGGGGAGCGTTTTCTCGATCTTGAGTCGCTTGGCCGACTTGGGCACGCCATCAAGGAGTCGCCGCTTCTCAAAGAACCGGTACGCGGCGCCATACACAGCACTGCCGCTGCCCTCGCGCCGTCCTTTCTTCATGAGGAAGTTGCGCAGCGGCGTGATCGAAAAGCCCAAGTGCTTGGCGAAGTTCACTTGGCTGGCCTCCTTTGCGAGGAAGAACTGCTGCAAGTGGTCTCGCACAACGTCGCAGTCGTCGTACACGGGCGCGTCATCGTCGAGCTCGACCGCGTCAATTTCCGCCAGTCGATTCGAACCCTTCTTGGCACGGGGCGCTACGTCGGCCGTTGTATCCGCCTTGCGCTTGGCGCCAGCCTTCTTGGCCGCGGCCTTGGCGTCGGCCTTGGCCTTCTTGTCCTTCTTTGCGAGGTCGTCAAAGAACGGGAGCGAATTCCAGTACGTCTGGTTGCCGCTGCCGCCGCTGACGCCCGTCTGCTTCATGAAGCGCTGGTACGAGTTGGCGTTGGATCGAATTTCCTTGAGGAACGCGGTCTGCGTCAAAACCTTGGTCGCGAGGAACTGTTGGATCTTGAGCCGAATCGCATTGCACGACCAGCGCCGCGCCAACCGGTTCACGTACTCGTCCTCGTCTTCGCCTTCGCTCTCGTCGTTCGGCGTCGCAGCCGCTGCCATGAACGAGCGGCCCGCGCTGGCGGCCAGTGGTGCTGCTGTCGTCGACGAGGTCATGCCAGTCATTGGTATGGTATGGTCCAGAGTGGCATCCGGTGTGGCATCCGATTGGCCAAAAGTGTACGAAAACACGCATGCGATTGGTCCATTTTGGCCGGACGAGGTCATTCTTGAAGACGACCATCATGGCGACAAGGACCATCAAAGTCCTTGTCACCATCAACTGCTTTCGGGTTGCTGCGCGAGTAAGGGCTAGAGTTCACCATCACGCTATCTTCATTAGCAAGCGGCTTGCACTGCTGACCAATAAGACAAAGGTGTTGGGCTTGTCAATATTGCTTTCATCTTGGCTTGAAATAACGCGCGAACCATCTTAGCCATCGGCCGGCATGTGTAGTACGAAGATATAGAGTCTATATTGGTTGATATACTTTAGAGCACCATGAATGGCTACGCACGTCCTTACCACGTCGTTAGCGACAACGGCTCGAACGCAGACGCGTCGCCGTCGAGGCCGTCGAGGGGCGGTGTCACCGGCATCAATGCGTCGCGCTGGTCGTCCTCCTTAGACTCCTTTGGCGCTTGGTCTTGCTGCTGCTTGGGCGTTTGGTTTGGGTTCCAAGAGTGCTCGCACGTGCAGTTGCCGCGGCCGCAACGGCGGCACCAGCTGCTCGACACGACGACAGGGCGAGGCGAATTCGCGGGCGTGCCTTCGTCCAGGGGCGGCATGTAGCCCGGATGCACAAGCGCTCGCGGCTGGATCGAGAGACTCGGCTTGTTGGGCGACGGCGCGGCCATCGACGGCAGCTGCGAGTTCACCGAGAGGAGCGTCGTGGCCTTCACACCGTTGCCGCCCGCAACGTTGTTGTGCGACCGGACGATGTGGGAACCCGCCCACGTCGCATCCTTGCGCGGCACAGTCGACGCCATTGTCGGGTTGAGCGGGCTCACCTTGAGTGTCGCGAGTGCGGGGCTGACGTCGGCGCTCGTCGCGCTTGGTGGCTCGGGCGCGGCCAGGACAGGGCTCTTTTGCGGCTCGAGAACGACCCAGCGATGGCCCACGGCCTCGTCGATCGAGAGGCGGAGGCACGGGTCCGGGTAGATGAGCTGTGCGATGAGCGACTTGGCGTCCTGCGTAAAGTGCGACGGGAAGAACCACTCGGGGAACTCGACCTCGTTCGCCGGGTCCTCGGCGTCGTCGTTGTACTTGGTCACAAACGACCATTTCTTGAACTTTTCGTACCGAATGCACTTGAGAAGGTCCTTCCCAAAAGGCAAACTGCCCGCCAGCATCGCGTAGAGGATGATGCCGCTCGACCACGCGTCGGCCTTGGCGCCGTCATAGCCTTGGCCCGTGTCCTGCAGCACCTCGGGCGCGACGTAGTGCGGCGACCCGACCACGGACCGCAACCGGCGAATCGACTGGCCCGTGTTGCCATTTCTAGCCATCGCTATGAGATATTTTGCTTCGTAGAGAATGGGACCGCACCCAATGTCTTCTGCAATCGAGAATATCGCTGAGAGACCAAAGTCTGCGATCTTGAGCGTCGAGTTCTCTTCATTGTCGGCGAGAAGAAGGTTCTCGGGCTTGAGGTCGCGGTGGCACACGCCCGACCCGTGGCAGAACGCGACGCCTGAGATGAGCTGCTTGAAGTAGAGCCGCGCCGTGGGCTCGTCCGTGCCGCAGTCGAGCTTGATGCGGTCAAAGAGCTCGCCGCCGGCCGCGAGCTCGAGCACGAGGAAGATCGTGCACTTGCTGTCTTGGTGCAGCTCGAGTGCTTCGTCCAGTCGGAGCACGTTGACGTGCGTCCCGAGACTCGACATGTTGGAAATCTCCCTACAGACGATGTATATAGGCAGATGAGACATGGGACGTGTGTACCGGTAGATGGAGCTGCGGCTGCGGGCGAACTTGACAAACTTCTTGGGCATCCTCGGAATCTGGAACACCTGGCCTTTCACATTCACTTCGCAGTAGCTCTCAACGTCTAGTAGGCGTGCTAAATGGAGAACATGAATTCGTGCTGGTACCGTTCGCAAACACGTCGGGCTCCTTGTCGTTGGCAGGAAACGCAAAGTCGATGCCCCAGACTTCGATGCAGCGCGGAAGCGTGAGCTCGCGGAACGCGCCGGACCGTGGGTCTTCGTAGGCCGCGATCGCTTGCTTGGACGACTGGTGCACGAGCCACCACACGTGCCTATAGAGGTCGTGAGCACTGCATCGCCCCGACGCCGCGTACTCGTTGCGCATCGGCTGCTGGCCTGTCGCAACCTCGGGTTCCATTTGGCGCCCTTTGATCGCGACGATGCAACGTGAAAGCAGCGATGTAGGCATGAGCTTGTAGCCGATCGGGTTGAGGATCTTGATGGCCACATGCTGCACGGCCATGAGCTATCGCCACGCACCAAGATGTCGCACGCACCTTAGCGCTCTGTCGGCAGAGAGCCTCGTAGACGCTAGGAAGGGCCATGAGACGTCGCCGGTCATGCAAGGAGCGTCGTACACGCCGGCCGTGCCGCCACCAAGGTAGCCGCCGAGCTCGTAGCGCAGTTCGTTGCCGATAAATATGGACTGCCCATCGTAGCGGTCGACCTTGAGCGCTGTGAGCTTCCGCCGGCGATCGTTCGGGCGCGCCGCCATGCCCCGCTGCTCCGTTTCACGCAATCACCAACTGAAAACGACCCACGCCGACGCTTGCCTGCTATACATACCCACTGTCCGTTTCGAGCACCGTACGATTTAAGCGAATTCGAGCCCGCGCTCGCCTCCGATTGGTCCTCGGGTGTCCTATGAATTCGCTAGGCTAATCCAACGCATTTAATCGCTCAAGTTGGCGTCGTGGCTGGACACGAGACATCAGTCGGGATCCTGCAAGCCTCGTCGTCGACATAATAGCAATGCAGGAAATGAGTTACATGGAACTCAATCTTTATGCGTGCACGATTCTCATCATTGGCAGTGCCATTGATGGCAATCTCGCGGAGGGAATAACGCTGCAATGCGATCACACGCCAAGTCAAGGTCCAATTCGAAAATTAAAGTTGCAGACCCACCTAGCAATGACAAGTATGGGCGGTTGTCGCCCTCTTCACGTAGTCAGCTTTGTAGCTGAAGAAGCAGCGATCGTTGAGGTTCAAGGGCTGGTGGCAAAGTTGCGTGCGATTAACACGTCTGCTTCAACTTGCTACAAGCCTCAAAAATTATCGGCCAAGTGACCAAGATCTTCCGGACGCATACGATTGGCTAAAATCCCGAGCTCGGATCCATGATTCCCGTTCCACTCACCTTGTGGTTTCAGCCAATCGCATCGCAGTGCGTATATTTAGCCCATTGCAATTGGACCGCTGATTCCTATCCGGATGCGCGGCCAGTCGCCCTTTCGTTCGCACGCAGCATGGCGCACTTCCTCAAGCAGACGACGCTCGTGACGGCCGCTGGCGCCGCCAAGGAGCCCGTCGCCAAGACCCTCGCGCTCTACTTCGCCGTGCGCCCATGCGCTCAAGGTCACGCCGAAGCTCATGCCCATGTACATGTAGGCCGATTGGTGCCCCGACTGCCGCGACTTCCAGCCGACGCTCAACGAATTCTACCGCCAGGTGAACGCAACCTCGCATGAGCTCGACATTGTGTTTGTCGGCTCGGACGCGACGGAGGCCGACCAGCTGGCGCACTTTCGCGAGAAGCAAGGCCCGTGGCTCATGATCCCGTTCGCCGACCCGCTGCGCGACGAACTCAAGCGCAAGGTACCGGTCCCTGTCTATGCTCTGCATGTATGAATGGAATCGAGCGTAGTATGGCGTGTGCGCTGGCAAGGAAAAGGAGGCTGTTGGTGTCACCGATCGCGTCGGCGGCATCCCGAGTCTCGTGGTCGTGTCGCCCACTGGCAACGTTGTCGACCTCCATGGCGCCGACAAGGTCGCGGCCGACGGCGCCGCCGCCCTCCAAGCGTGGCTCTAAGATGCTTTTTCTTAATGCCATCACGCTATGTGTCATTGCATTTATCTCGTGTTATGACCCAACGTGGCGCAGCGGTCCAAAATCCCGTCCACTCATCTTCTTCTTTCGCCGGTGCTTGAGCACTTGGAGGTATGGGGCCGTCGCGCTCGCGGCCGTCGTCTTCTTACTGCGCACCACGATGCTCGGCAGCGTCACGTCCCTTCGGCCTTTCGGAGGCGTGTCGTCAAAGCGTGAGCTGCTCGCCGACGGTTTGATCGCGACGCTCTTGTCGAGATGCTGCTGGAGCGTTGAAAACGTAAAGGACTGGTGGCGAGACGACTTGACTTCGTCCGTGGACGGGTGCACTTTGGCGTAAATATCGGGCAGAAGCGGCGGCGGCTTGGGGTCGGTCCCCGGACGACCGACCGTGCACGGCGACGAAATGCGCTCCATCGAGAGACGCAGCGTGTCAAAGCCGTCGGTCAAAGTCGCGTCCTCGAGCGTATCGAGAATGCCGTAGCTCACTTCGTGCCCAATATCGTGCTTGTCGAGAATCGTTTGTTGTTTTTGTATGATATTGTCGCGGAGCTACTCTCGTATCAATATATATATATATATATAAATGTAAAAGACGTACCCGCAGTTGCAGCTTGAGCTTCTCGATCGTGAGGTCTTTGCCGCGCGAGAGCGTCTCCTGCACCGTGCGGGTTTGCTCGAGCTCCATGTTTTCCAGCTCGAGCTTCCCGATGCGGTATTCCATGAGGAGGAGTTCCCGCTTCTCGTCACTCGTAATGTTGTGCTCCAACGCTGCCCTAATGATGCGACCGCAAGATGTTTAGTCCCAGACTAGTTGCATCGAGCCAAACCGAAACTCGTCCGCCGCCTTCTCCGTGTGCCGCAGCTTGCGTGTGAGGTCGGCTTTTTCCTCCGAGAGGTCCTTGATGTCGTCTTGAAGCCGATGGATGTCGGTGCGCGCGCGGCCAATGACCTCTGACTCGTCGTCGTCGTGCTCCTTCTCTTCGCGCTGGCGCTCGTGCTCGGCCACGACCAGCTGATGCTGGCCAATCTCGATGCTTTTGGCGACGTTCTTATTTTCGAGCTCGAGCAGCTGCCGCCGAAGCTGCATGCGTTCGTGAAAGTACTTCATGATTTGGACGCGCGCCTAGCCGGACAATGAACATCTCGACATCTCGGCAATTCTACCTCGCGCATCGTCGACGTCATCGTGACGCCTTCCACGTCCTGGTTCTCCTTGCCCGACTTGCGCTTCAGGTCGTGGGCCGACGGCGACGGAATGCCTTGCTGCATGAGTTGCGTCTTGAGGTTCGTAATTTCTTGGCGGAGGTTGGCGATGAGCGACACATACTCGGAGATGTGGTGGTTGACGTTGAGCACGTTGCGCGTGACCGTCGTCTTGATGTTCTTGGCGCGGTTGGCGTACCTACGCGGCATGAGTCACCACCGTGCCGATATATCGTACTTGAGTGTATTGACTGTCTCTTCGAACGAGAGCACCGACATGCTAATGTTGGCGATCATCACCGTCCGGCAGTTGCCGCCCAGCGAATCTTTGAGCAGCCGCGTGAGCTTGCTGTCACGGTACGGCACGAACGCGCCGCGGTTGGCCTTTTCGCCAAGCGCGTTGATGCAGTTGCCGAGGGCGAGGAGCGACCGGTTGATGTTGGCGCCTTCCAAGAGGCGTAACCCGCTAGTCGATTCGCATGATAGTCAGTAGCGTACGCGGTCTGACACGAAGACGGTACCGGTTTTGGGTCACGGCGGCGCGCTCGCTGCCGGCCAAGTCGATCATCGAGAGCTTCCCCGTCTAGAGACGGATGAGCATGCGTCGTGACGACGTCGTCAAAGTACCTTGAGCACCGAGACAGTGTCCGGCGTCACCTCGGTTTGCTCGACCGACACTTGCAGCACGGCGTGGGATCGAGACGAAACCGCGTTGGCGGCCGTCGCCTCCTGCGACCGGTTTTTGTTGCCACGTCGGAGGAGCCGCATGACCTCGTCGGCGTTGGAAGCGACGACCTCCGAGAGGTCGGCCACGATCGGGCCGCGCACGGGGTCTTCGCGCAAGTCCAAGTACGTGTCTTCTTCCGGGTCGGACCGCAGCAAGTCGCGAATGTTTTCGTTGTACACCTCAAGGAACGAGACCGTGACGCGGTATGTCACCTAGCCACGAGTCAAGTCGCGAAGCACCGATGCTGTATCTACCAGCGCTGGTACGCGGGCGTGGGCCATCGCGATGTGCTCAAACAGGTCTTCGAGGGTCAAGCCCATGATGCCTGGCTCGTCCGGCGTGCCCAGCATCGTGTACGTCTAAGCAAATTGGAGTTGGAGCATTGGGCTGGAATACGTACCTTGCCGGCGCCCGTGCAGCCATAAGCAAAGACGGTCGCGTTGTAGCCCTGGAGGATGCCATGCACGAGGAACTTGGTCGTGTTGTTGTACACGGTGCGCTGGCCGTCGGACGGCGCAAAGACGTAGTCGAACGCATACCGCTTCTCGCGCGACCGGTGGCGCATCTTGCCGACCACGTCCTTTTGGTTGCCTGGGTCGAGCACGACGACGACCTTGTTGCCAAGCACTTTGACGATCTCGCCGCGGTCGCGATCGTGCTTGAGCTGCGGGCGCAGCCGCACCGCGACGAGGACGTTGGCCTGGCCCGCCCACATGGCGCGCTTGAAGGCCTCGGTATCGTCGTCCGTCTCGGGCTGGTTCTCGGTCACGAAGGCTTCGCGGAGGCTGCCCATGCTCGTCCTGCTTGGACGCAATTCCGCTGTCGGTTGGCCGCCGAAACCGACCCACAGAGCAAAGCGTTTTATGCGACACGCAAGAGATGTACCTGACGTTAAACTAGCGAGATACCGGAGGTTAAACGCAAAGCCGCGCGTCAAAGCATCGTGCTGACGACGGAAGAGGACCAAGAAGACGCGACGTTGGTGCCACCGAGCTGGCAGCTTTTTTTGTTTTTTAATTCTTTAATACTCCCCATCTCTTTCAATGGTCTCCATCTTGGTCGTCCTAAACTCTACGCTCCTAACACTATCGAGGGGTCGGGGTCTCTACTTGCAGTAGAGGTTGCGGTCGATCACGGGCGGGATCGGGCGGATCTCCGTGCCGAGCTCTTGCTCGATACGGTACAAGTTGAACCGGTCTTCGTACGTGATCATGTTGATGGCGAGACCGAGGTGGCCAAAGCGGCCCGAGCGGCCAATGCGGTGGAGATACGTCTCCGAGTTCTTGGGAAAGTCAAAGTTGATGACTACGTTGACGGTCTGGATGTCGATACCGCGCGTAAAGAGGTCCGAGCACACGAGGTGGCGCGTCGCGCCGTTGCGGAACTCGTGGAAGACGCGGTTGCGGTGGGCCTGGTTCATCTTGGCGTGGATGTAAAAGCACGAGAAGCCGAGCTCCGTCACCTTCTTGGCGAGCAGCTCGACGCGGTTCACCGAGTTGCAAAAGATGATACTCTGGTTGATGTCGAGCTTGGAGAAGAGCGTGTTGAGGCAGTGCACCTTCTGGCGCTCCTCGACAAAGGCGTAGAATTGCGAGACGCCCTTGAGCGTCAGCTCGTCCATCAAGTTGATCTCGTACGGGTTCTCAATGTACTTGTCCTTGAAGGCCTTGACGGTCACGGGGAACGTGGCCGAGAAGAGGCAGATTTGCCGCCCCGGCGCCGTGTGGTTCACGAGCTGTTCAAGAAGCGGCTGGAACTCGGGCGACAGGAGCTTGTCGGCCTCGTCCATGATCACGGTTGAGCACTTGCTCAGGTCCGCGACACCCTTGTTGGCCAGGTCCATAATGCGACCCGGGGTGCCGACCAAAATATGCACAGTATTATACAAGCGCATGATGTCGTCCTTGAGGCTCGTTCCGCCCGTGCTCACCTAAAGACGACGTGTCAAACACAGCAGCGAGCTATGGACGCGTACCATGCATTCGACGCCCATGTGCTTGCCGATCTCCTTGACGATGGCCGAGGTCTGAAGGGCCAATTCTCTTGTCGGGACGAGGATCATCACTTGGATGTACGGCTTGGATGTGTCCGTCTTCTCGAGGCACGGGATGATAAAGGCCGCGGTCTTGCCGGTCCCGTTCTTGGCGCGCGCCATGACGTTGCGCCCTGCGAGGATGATCGGGACGGCTTCTTCCTGGATCGGCGACGGGCGCTCAAAGCCCTTCTCGAAGATGCCCATGAGGAGCTCGCGCTTGAGGAAGTAGTCCTCAAAGTCGTTGCCTACAAGCATGTTGCGCATATCCATCGACTTGGCGTTGCGTACCCTTGACGTTGGTGACGTCCTCGGTCTGGTAGCGCGTGTCCTTCGTAGGGGCCTTGAGGCCCGTCTTCCAGTCGTCCTCATCGCCCATCGAGTGCTGGCTGGGCGTCGGCGCGGGGGGCGGAGGGTTGCTGCTCATCGGTCGGGGCAAGTATATTGCGGGTTAGATACGACGACGGGGCTGGCCTTCGAACCTGTCAAATTCGATATTGAAAAGCTTCTGTGGTCTGGAAGGCTCTGGGCCCGTATCCGGCTCCGGCTTTTCTCCGGCCCGAAGATCCTGCCGTCAAATAGCGTGAAAACGAGAAAATAGTGTAGTAAAGTCGTGCGTGACGTTATCGATCTTGACACGAGCTCTAGACAGACGTGTCTGCTCTGCTGCTACCGTCGTCACGAAAGCACACCAAGACGTAACAATGCTAGTACGGGAGAAGGGCTAGTATGAGAGAAGGGCACGATTCTTCGAGTCGACAATTATGCTTTGGGTCGACGACTTGCAGGATGCGATGTTGGGAAGCAGCTACGAACTCGACATCGCTTGGATCTGGTCAAGGGTGCGCTGGAGATGCTTGATGGCCTCGCGCTGGACGGTACTTTTGAACTCGAGCTCTACGATCCGGCGCACGTAGGCTTCTTCTCGCTTCTGGTACTGGTCGCGCTGCATCGTGACCTGGCTACAGTTGGCAGCCAGCGCCATGAGCTTCTTGGAATGCTCGCGCCGCAAGCGGGACTCGAGCGCCAGAACCGCCGCTTCATGCTCTGCTTTCAACTTGTCTTCAAGCACCGCAAGGTGCGCCTCGTACACAGCGCGCAAGGCTGCTAGCGCTTGCTCTTGGCTTGTGTGCGAGCGATGGTCACCGGTGGCCATCGACGCTGCTCGACCGCGTCCCACCGTCATTGGCTCGGCGGCAGGCTTGGCTTTCGAGGCGGCGTTCACTGACGGGTTCCAGCGCGGCTGTTGCATTGCGACTTTTTGGCTTATGAAATAAGACGCCAGCGTGTCGAGAGAACCTTTCCCGTGTACAAAGGCGACGACGATCGCAGCCGCTCGATGCAAAGCGCTTTTCCCAAACCATTTCTTGGGCAAAATGGTTTATATTCGTTCGTGAGCGATGTACTACACGTCTAGAGTGTGAACGACCGAGTCATCCACGTGTGCGTAGCGAGCGCCAAGTCCTTCTCCACAATGCAGCAGTCTTCGGCTGGGTTCGAGTCGAGCACCATGGCGATCATCGTGCGGGTGCAGTAGTCGACATGCGGCTCCTTGGTTTCGACAAACAAACTCGAGAGTTTGAACTCCATCTCGATCGTGTGCCCTACAACCAAAGTCTCGGCACAGATCGTCCAAACGAGCAGCGATACCGGTCTTTGGCAGCTCGTCTTCGTTCTGGATGCGCTGCGAGTTGGCCATGATGGGCAGCAACCGATGGCAAATCTCCATGGCCGGCCCCGACCGGTCGCAGGCGGCCATCGCTTCTTTGGCCTGGACGACCTTGGGCCACGGCGCGCTGAACGGGCCGTTGGACATGCCGTAGATGACGTTTGGCTTGAGAAGCGAGCTTTCCGTAACGTACTCGCCGTGCACAAAGTTGCAGAGGTGGCCGAGCGACGCGCCGTCAAAGACAATCAAGTTGAATCCCGGGTACAAGTGGCCGGACGCCTCAAGCTCCTTGAGGTAGCTCGCCGTGCTCATCGTACCCTCCAAGAAGTCCTTGATCACATTCTATTTGCCATACCAGTATGAGAGTCGCAAGCATGACATCATCAAGCGTCCAACCCCGCGGCTAAGTTTGCCATGCACCGGCGGCATGTACCGGATGTTGGTGAGGAAGGCGGCGCGGACTATGGCATGCTCCTTGCGAATGCCCATCCAGGTGCCACCGCGAATGAGGTCGCGCGCTAATGTAGTCCACGGATGATGGATGAGAAGGATCATGAAGGCGTACGGGCAAAGATGGTGCCATCGGGCGGCGCCCACCACGCGCACGGCGCCGTGTCCCGCGTGAGCCACTCGTCGCGGTTGTGGAGCACGATGAGCCGCACGTGGCGCTGGCCGTCGTCGGTCTCGTACTCTTGGAGCTCAAAGAGCGCAGTGCACATGATGCGAAGGTGGTGTTGGAGCGCCGCCTGAAACGTACTTTCTATGGCTCGCACCTGGGCGCCAATAAGTAAAACGTAGACGTTAAATTAAGTAAAACCCACGTTGTGGGTATAAATACGGCACGAAACGACACAACGACGCGTTAAAACGTGAGCGCGGGGTACGGGCTGCCACAAGGCGAGACGGCGACCACCGGCGCGTCGAACGAGCTCGGTGGCATCTCGTCAAAGTCCTTGGCGATGTTGTGGAGCCATTCCATCTCGGCCAGCGTCCACTGGTCCGCGCCGTCGTCCGTAAACGGCCACGACGAGTGCCACGAGCTTATGGTCGGCAGGAGCTGCATCGTGGTCTCGACCTTGACGCTCGGAAGACACTGCAGCTCGGTATTGTGGTGCTTGGCGCCTTTCTTCTCGCACTGCGACCGAGCGAGCTCGAAGGCCGACGCCACGCCATTGCTGGAGGACTTGCGCTTCACGAGGTGGTACGAGCTCTTCTCGAGGTCGCGCGTAAAGAGTGCGTGCTTGAACGCAATGCCCTCGGACTTGAAGTTCGTCTTTGTGAGCTTGTGAAAGCCAAAGTAGTTGAGCTGACGCTGGAAGCTCGACATCTTGTTGTGCTTGAAGAAGCGCGGCAGCACTTGGCTCTGGAAGAGCAGCGTGTCGTCGATGATGAAGAAGAGACCCGACACGTCCCAGTAGATCATCGGGAGGTCGTGCGACCGCAGCATGAGGTCGAGCGACTTGATGAACGGGGCGGCCATCGACAGGCCGTCGCCCTGCCGCACGGACATCGCAATGCCCTTCTTCAAGGCCTGCGACGAGGCTGCAGGCGACTTTTGAGGACTCGTTGACGGTGTCGGCAGCTGGCTTGCTGGGCTCGACAGCGTCAACGCACGAGGGTCCGACCAGCGAATGTCCATGGACGCTGCCCCGGTCACGTCCATCATGCCCATCTTCTTGGTGCGCTCTTGGAGGGCTTTGGTCATCGCGAGGTCGCTCGTTTCATGGCTCATGCTTGTGGTGGTCGCCCACTCGATGGCTTTTTGGCCCATCATGCATGTCATCGTCGGGGTGACGGCCTTCTCCCATGGCATCATGGTCATGCGCGGGATCGTCGCCATGTCCTGCAGTGTGCTCTTGGAGGCAAAAGGGGAACTGCGAACCGAGCCCTGCTCAGGTCTCGCCACCGTCCAATACAAACGTGCAGTCACGGCGGGTTGAAGTTGTCGCGCGGCTGAAAAAGATTCTTTTTCCGCCAATCAGCGTCCCGCATCGGGCTCCATACAAACTGCAAGTGCGAAGAAAGTGACGAGCGCTTGCCACGATGGCCCGACCAGGCCGCGATCGGCAGACATAGGCAGTCGCCCGACGCTGGATGCTCCTGTGGGATCCTCCCAGTGGTACTACCCGCTTCTCACGTAGAGGAGGTGGATGTAGAGGAGGTCCCATGACCCCAGCATAGTCATGTTGTGCTAGTACGACGATGATCACGCTCTGTCTTCATGCACATGGACAGAGGCTATGGTCACACTACCATAGCGTTCGCGGTCGCTGCCCTCGAGCACGGACGAGAAGCCCCTGTTAACATGTTGGACACTGGCTCCGGTATCGCACTGCACATGAATCTCGACATTCGCTGCCCTTTTCCAAGGGTCACCAATGCTTTTTCAAGCGTAGGGCCCTGATTTCAGGCCAAATTTCGGATACGGACAAGTCTTTTGGCCGATGACAAGGCAATGACCGACGCCGTGGCTTGCGGCATGAAATGGACCTCCTTGGGTGGCTTGACGTTGGCTTCGCCAATGGGCTGCTGCGAGACGTCAGCTGCCGCGTTGTAGCGTCGGGTCGGAACCTCCGAGACGCCCATCTCGTGCTGCACTAGTGTGGTCGATCATGCTGTTACATCATCATGGCCAGGCAAGTGATATCCCGACCATTTTGCAGATGCCCAAGCTACTTAATCAGTGCTGCTGTGCTTTCTAGTTCTGATCGCTTTTTCGTCTTCGATGGCTGTAGACCTGCCGCGGCAGCGAGCTCTGCCAGCGGTCCCAGTTCTTGTAGCCTGCTTCCCGCTGCGATGGACGGAGTGGGCTTTGCAGTTGCCGAGGAGCTATTTTTAGCCGCCATCGCCGCTTGGATCTCAGTTCTTACCGTCGAGGGCGCCATGAACCTGGACCTGACCGATTTCAAGCAGACGTCGTGCGAGGGCTATGTGACCAAGCGAGGTAGACAGGCCAGTAGCAATGACCGACACCATAGCGATACGCATGATAGGCCACGTCATGAAATCGTGGCGGCGACGCTACATGGTGCTGGACGGCGACACGCTCAAAGTCTCGTACTTCGACAGCAAGACCATCTACAAGAGCGACAAGCCCAAGGAGAAAGGGTCGTTCATCCTCGCCGAGATCGAAAAGCACGACTACAGCGACGAAGGCGGCGGCGTCAAGCCGTATGGCTTCAAGCTCGTGGGCCATGCTCCGGGGCACGGCTACAAGGAATTTTGCGTCTACGTCGAGACGGCGAAAGACCAGACGCAGTGGCTTGAAGTTGCACACAATGCGCTCGGTAAGAACGTCGCGCCACAGGCGTCAGCGGACCAGCGGGCGACCGCGCTTCTCGGTGCGAAGCTACAGTCGTTCATGTAGCGTAAGGAGTGACGCTACTTGTTAGGTCACCGTGCGGCCTCGGGCTTCCTCACGTCCGCGCCCGTCCAGCTCCGCAATGTCAACAAGACCAAGGAAGAGCTTTTGCGCAAGGCGATCGTGACGCTCGAGCATGCGCGGACTGTGGGCGACAACACCGTTTCGGAAATGGGCCACAACGCAGGTATCATCTGCGGCCAACATCGATGTCGCTTCATGGACGCCTAGAAATGCTCGATATCGCCGAGGCCAACATGGACTACGTGGGGACGGAGCTCGATCGCGGCGACAACATCATCAAGAAGATGACGAGTCCCTTCTTCTACTACTTTTCTAGCTCCAAGAGCAAAAAGAAGGGAGCGGGGTCGCCCAAATCCAAGTCTGCGCGAAGCCACCTGCCCCAAACCCCAATGGCAACCATCCTTGCCATGACCCTTCTCCGTGCTCATTGTTTGTAGAATTCGCCAACAAATAAAAAACCCAGTGGCCCGACGTCCAAGACAGGTGGTCCGACCACCGATGCCGGTGACGACGAACTCGATCAGCTCTCCAAGATCCTCGCGTCGCTCGAGGTCCACGCCAACACGATCAGCACCGAGGTTGAGCGTACGACCGAGCAAATCGACCGGATTCAGAAAAAAATGGTCGAGGCCGACGAGCGCGTCGTCGAGCAGAGCGCCAAAGTCCACGCGATCCAGCAAAAGAACAAGCTCTAACCTCCAATTGAATGAAGACGATGACCTCTTACTTGCGGTCCATAAAGTGCTGTCGCCGCACGAGCTGCACGTGCTTGGTCATCATCGCATTGTAGTCGTGCGTCTTGATGGTCGCGCTGTCGGCGCTCAGCTCGCGCCCGTCGATGCGCTGCCCGTTCTTGTACACAAAGTGGCTGCCTTGGGTCGAGCCTACGAGAAATGTCATGTTCCAGACGCAGCCACGTGCATACGCACTCGACGACTTCTTGGGCGTCACGATCTTGAGGTAGCTGATCTTGGACTGCGCCTTGCGGAGGAGCTGGTCCAGTCTACCCACACGTGAGCGCCGGTCACGTCGTCGCATGACCTACTCCTCGGGCGTCGCCGCGCCTTCATGCGCCCGGAACTCATGCCGAACCTTCTCTAGCGTCTGGGCGCGCTGCTCTTGGGGCACAGACTTGGCCAGCTTGAGGAGCTTCTTGTAGGCAGCGCGGATCGTCGCGTCCATCGTTCGTGTCGTCGTCCAAGAATTCCGCAATCACGGTCCGTCAAAGCTGTATTCCTACCCGATAGGTAAAAGTGAAAAACGCTATCGCTTAGGAGACCCATTTCACGGTCCGAGGTTTTTTCTCTTTTGGTGCGACTCGTATCGCAGGGCGTTGAAGCTCTGACCAAAGTTCCTAAACTCATTTAAAGGAGCCTTGGTCAGTATCGCACGACGCCAGAGTGCCAGAGTGGCCAACGTGCTATTGCGCGACCTCGATTTAACGCGTTTTTTAAACGCCAAAGCGACTGGAGCGTTTTTCGAGTGGTGTAACGTCGCAAGCAGTGGCCGAGCGAGCAAGCCATGCCCATGGAATGGATCGACATCGTCAAGGACCTGTGCGCGGGCACGGTCGGCGGCGTCGCGGGCATTGTCGCTGGCCATCCGCTCGATACGATCAAGGTCCGGCTGCAAACACAGGCGCAGCGCGGCAGCGTCATCGCCGCGTTCCGCTCGATTGCGGCGAAAGAAGGGTTCCGCGGCTTCTACAAGGGCATGGTCTCGCCCATCGTGTCGAACGCGCCGATCAATGCAGTGGTGTTTGCAATCTACGGTCAGGCGTCGCGGGCGCTGGCGGGCGACGCGCCGCTCACGCCAGGGCAGCAGTACCTTGCCGGCGCTCTCGCCGGGCTGGCACAAGTGACCTTTTCAGCGCCGGCCGAGCTCGTCAAGATTCAAATGCAAGTCGACACGCGCGCGTCGGCATCAAGCTCGTTTGCGTGCGCGCGTCAGATTGTAATGCAGCACGGCGTATCCCGCGGCCTCTACCACGGGTGGCAGCTCACGGTCCTGCGCGACGTGCCCGCGTTTGGCTCGTATTTCTTCACGTACGAAGTCGCCAAGGAAATGTTGAGCGACGGGAAGGACGCGTCGACGATGACGCTGCTGCTCGCAGGCGGCATTGCGGGCTCCATGTCGTGGATCCTCACGCAGCCCGTCGACGTGCTCAAGACGCTCGTGCAAAGCCAGCGCCTCGATGCAATGGCATCGATCCATACGGTGTTCCAAGATAACCTCCAGCGCGACGGCCCTCGCTTCTTGACCAAAGGGTTCACAGCCACGGTCCTCCGCGCGTTCCCAGTAAGCGCCGTCACGTTCCTCGTCTACGAGCGCACGATGGAGATGCTGCACATTCCAGACGCAGAGAACGCGCTCCACCTCCTGTAAGCACCTCGTACCTTGTAGATAGACGCCCGGAGGTGTGGAATAAGAATAAATAGGAGATCTTATAAGGCTAGACTATCGCGGCGGCGATGGCAGCGCGGAGGTACGTCACAGCAGCATCGTAGTTGCCGCGGCGCAGCTCTACATCACCTTGGAGTGCGCGCAAGGATGGAAGGCACGGCGGGGAGGCCCACGCCTCGCAGCACACGATAGCTTCGTCCGCTTCGTCGATTCGCCCGAGGCCAAGCAAGCACATAATGAGACCGAGCCAGAGCGCTGGCGACGTCGGATCGTCGCACAAGGCGAGCTTGTACTGGAGCTGCGCTAAAAAATACTCGTGCGCACTATGGAGCGCGGTGGCTTCATGCGCGTGCTGATGGAGCCGCCACCGTCGACGACCCAAGCGTCGACGCGCCTTGAGAAGGTCCTCGACTGCGTCACTGTACAGTGCGTACTCGGCCTGCGCAGCGGCCACAGCACCGGCATGTTCAGCGCGCAGGGCTGCGACTTGTGACTGCAGCAGTGTATGCTCTGAGACACTGGACGGACCCAAGGCAAGCTCGAGTCGCTGCGACCGCGTCGGGCGCATCGTCTGGACAAGGTCATTAAGTGACACGGTGGTGCCCAATGTCATTTCTCGAGGACTCATATCGTGGCCGACGCAGCCGGCAAAGTCGAGCGTGCTCCGGAGCGAGAGGTACGAGCCGCGGGAGCTGCGCACGGCTGTGAGGCGCGTTGACGACGTCCCGCGGTGGGAAGGACCGCCGATCGCGCGCATGGTTTCGTAAATATCATCCAGTGAGACCGACGTCGTCGAGTCCGCCGAGCTCTCGGACGAGCTGTCGTTCGAGTCGTCCTCCGACTCGGCGACCGGCGGGTAGATGCTCGAGTACGCGACCATTGTCGGCGCCGACGCGAACGTCGAGTAGAGCGATCCGTGTGAGTCTTCGCGCTTCGTCTTGGCGGCCGTCGACTGCTTTCGTCGTTCTTGAGCTTGGAGGGCTGCCCGCCACGCGTCCTCCGAGTGTGACACTGCGACCACGTCGCTGAAGAACGACGTCATGTCTTCGTGGCAGGCGTTGCAGACGCGCTGCGGCTGGCGCTCGTCCATATTCGAATCGACGAGCATGGACGCCTTGTGCTTGGAGTGGCGGCCACAGACGGAGCGTCCGCACCGCCGGCAGTGGTGTCGCCGCGTCACGAAGCCAAACGCCTTGGCGCACATGTGGCAGCGCCGGCCGTGGGACCAGGACGCCCGCGGCATGGCGGCGGTCGCTGCTCGCGGCCGTCGCATTCTAGCACACGCCACTTCTTGTATTTGACTATAATTGGAGTCCGCATGGACAACGAACGCAGCCTTCGCCACACTGCATCTTCCGGTTCGCCATCTGGGCGGAGTAGAAAGTGCAGTTTCGTATTTTGACACGCATCCCACTTGCACAACAGTCTCCGACGAGCGCATAACATGTTTAACGGAGTGTGATTCGACGTTAAACGGGATGTGATTCCACGTCTAACGTGTCTCTGAGTGTTATACGTGGTGCCACAGTCGTGACGATGTCGACGCTGGCGATTCATGGGGTCGTGCGAAGGATGGGCACAAACTGGATTTACTCGCCATAGCTCATTTTCGGTCGACGTTCAATGTAGCAGGCAGCTTGCGGGTGTATGCATCGAAAGAATAAAACATTAATTCCCTTGGTACGTATGCTCGCGTCGATTATACTCCCAGAACCTCCCACCCACCTCTTCCCTGTACACCGCGATGGTGCACACCTTATCGTGTATCTCATTGCTGCCCCTTTACAGCCAAGTCGCTTCTCATCTCAGCTGGTCTACCTGTCGTAAACCAAATGCGACGGCTGCTATGCCAGACTTGGTCCGATGTGCTTGTCCCAACGATGATGGGCACCACAACGCCATCGCTGTCGGTTGCCGCCATTTCGGTGGGCTAAAAATGACTTTTGCTAGTCGGGATTGGGCTTCTTTCCGACTCCTCGACGCCAAATATGTCGACCAAGATCAACAATGGGCTCTTCATGGGCGACGTGGACGCCGCGCAGGACGCCGACTTTTTGAGTCTCAACGGCATTGAGTTTGTCGTCAACTGCGTTCCGTGCGAGATGCCCAACGTCTTTGAAGCCGACGGCGTCCAGTGCGGCATACTCGAGTTGAGTTTCAGACTGGATTGACGCTGGTGACTGTAGGTACTTGGCGCTCGACATGGTCGAAGACCCGTCGAGCAGTGCGCTCCTCTTTGATTTGCGGAGCCAAGAGTTTTTGGACGTCGTCGACTTTCTCGAGAGCGCGATGGAGCAGAGCCAGAGCGTCCTCGTGCATTCGATGGACGGCGTCTCGCGCAGCCCGAGCGTCATGATGAGCTACCTCATGGTCAAGTACCAATGGTACACAAAATACCCATATAGTCTCGAACAACGGCGGCGTAGGAGCCTCGACAAGGCGTTCGACTACGTCAAGATGAAGCGCGGCGACATCAACGTGCACCCTGCGTACCTCGAGCAGCTGTCGAGCCTCGACAGCCAGCTTCAAATCAAGTTTGCGGGGCGGATTTCGCGCCAAAAGCGCTGCGAGTGGGACCCGCGCCATACTGGTAGAAGCTTCTTTCTCTCGGTTGCTCATGACGGCCGCAGATCCCACCACGGACGAGCTCGTGCTCGTCAACACGTTTTTGAACGTTGCGTCGACAGCAGCGGGCACTGATGACGACGACCGGGAGCGGCGCGACCTGGCCGCCAAGACCAAGAAGAGCCTGCTGTGGCTCGACTTGTGTCCGCGTCTGGTAGAGTATCGAGCGCCATGAGTCGGTACTTAGGACTGCAACGTCGTAGCGCAAGATGCACCCCGACTATGACTTTACAAAGCTCGAGCGACCGCCGAGCGCCTCGTATAGCGCCCTTGTGGCTGTAAGAAGAGGGCGCATCGTGGATGGAGGCGTGACGGCAGTTTAGGGCAACGGGTGGGTCGACACCCTCGAGCCGGTTGCTCGGCGCCGCGGTGTCGAGTCCCGACCGGTACAGGACGTCGACTTGAGCCTAACAGACGACGACGAGAGTGAACCGGCCAAGCCCGCGGCCGACAGCTGGGACCTCTCGTACTCGGATCCAGGCATTGGCCACGACGCCGACTCGAAACAGTGTACGCAGATTCTGTACGTAGCGACGTGGGCATGAGCTAGAGTGTAGACGACACGGACGACGACGGGCGCAAGACGCGCCACGGATCGATTCCGAGCCACCACATCATGGCGAGCAAGGCCGTGGCCAAGCGAGACGAGAGTAACCAGCAGCACTCGCCAACCGAAGCGCCTTCGTCGGGTGCTCCGCGGTACCTTCAACACACCAAGAGTTCGCGCAACGCAAAACTGCTCGTCAAGCCGCCGCTGCCTCGCCGAGGGTCGAGCAAGCCCGACCAGCTCGGGGACATGCTCCAGCGCTTCAAGCTCGACGACGACGCGAGTCGTAGCAGTACTACTACAAAGCCCCGGACGCGGCCAGGCCCAACCAAGGCCAAGGTACCGCCGCGCCCTCGCACGTCGCCGTCAAGTACCAAGCCAAAAGCATCGCTCATGCAAAATGTGATTCGCGGCAAGAGCTCGTCCAACGCCATCAATCCCGCGATCCATGTGACGCCCGTCAAGACCCGGCGCAATGTGCCCACGCCACCGGTCGTCTACGGCTGGGCCGAGAAGAAGCAAGGGCCGACAAAGAAGCCGGACGCAGTCAAGCCGCCAAGTTTGCGCCAAGCAGGCAACCGCGTGACGCCGGCCAAGTGGCGATAGAGGGATCGATCCCCCGCATCGACGTAATGCACCATACCTGCCCTCTTGCGCCTTTTAGAACCAAGTAGAACGCAGGCACAAAGGGTTAGTAGCTGGAGTGTGACGACGCTATACAAACGAACGCAGGGCCTAGGCGTCGGGCTTGAAGTCGGGGTTCTTGCGCAAAATGACAACGCCCTCCAGGACGTTCGTGTGCGCGAGGTACTCGTCCGTCGCGAGCTCGGCACGGTCCTTGACGTTGAGCAAAACGGGCGTGTTGTGAGTCTGGAACCCCGTAATTGACTTGGGGCGGCCGGCCTGCCCGACGACTTCGACCTACACGCGCTAAGTATACTACTGTCAAGAAGACTACACTCGTACCGCTTGACCGACGCGCACCGAGACCGGCAGCGGGTTGCCGTCCTCGTCGACAGTGATGAGCATGCGCGGCTGCATCGCCGTGACAATGCAGTACAAAAAGTAGTGCGAGTTGTCAAAAATGGTCTTCTCCATGTCGAGCGACGCGTGGAGGACGGCGAGGAGGCCACTGACCGCGACGCGCGACATGATGAGGCGGTCCGAGTGGAACGGGTGCAGCGTGATGAGCCCCTTCCCCATGTGCAAGAGGCCTTGCGCGATGCGTGTGACAAACAGGTGGTTGGCTTCGCGGCTATAAAACTCCGAGAGCTGGCGCAAAAGACCCGCAACGCGCGAGTTGTTGGTTCCGGCCGACGCCAGCCCCAGCGCAAGGATCGCACTCTGCGCGACGCCCGCGTCCACGTCGTGCGTGAGGCGCGAGAGCGTGTCAATGAGCGTGTACTCGGGGTTCGAGATGCTCAAGAGCGCCAATGCCAGCGGCACCGCGCGACGGACGTTCACCTCGCCGTACTGAAGCAAATGGTCAAACGTGCGCATCGCCATCTCCGTGCCCACGTTCTCGCCCATTGCGACAAGCCCGATACCGAGCACGGCCGCGCTCTGGTGCGCGCCTTCCTTGACGTCGTCGACATAGTGCGTCGCGCACTCGCGGAGAAGCGACTGCACCTTGAGCACGTTGCCCGTCCCCGCGTACGCGCACGTCTCAAGCGTGATCGAGAGGTACTTGGAAATGCGGTGCGAAATGGTCTTGGCCGCCTCGAGCATCGCGTCGACGCGCTCTTGGCGCCTAGAAGTTTATGAGCCTTGCAGGTAGACGCACTGGTTTGTACCCGAGGTAGAGCAAGCCGAGGCCGAGGCAGAGGAAGCGGGCGCACGATGAGTCGAGCTCCGCGTCCGTGCTTTCCATGAGGCGCTGCATGATGACGCTACCGGCCTCTTCGTCGCACGTGCCCACCTCGACCATACCAAGCGCGAGCGCCGCGTATGCCACTTCTTGGATATCCGCATTCTCATCGGCATGCGACACGACCGGGATGAGCAGCTCGGAAACGTCTTCGCGCGACGAGCCCGCGTAGGCAATGCCGAGGCCGAGGCACGACGCACACCGGATCGAGCAGTTGCCAGAGTCCACGTGCTCGGCGAGCAGCGCGAGCGCCGGGTCGCACTCGTTGCGGATACCGGCGCTGACGATGCCGACACCGAGGATCGCGCCGGCCTTGATGTGGTGGTCGCCCGAGTAGAGGAACTTGTCGATCTGCGTAATGCCTTCCTCGACGTTCCAGAGCATGATCATGCCGAGCGACGCGGCCGCGCTCGTCATGCCGTGCTCTTTGTTCTTGTAGAGCCAGTTGTTGCCTTCGACCGTCATGAGCTTGTCCGTGCCGTAGCCGGCGTTGACGAACGCGTTGACAAAGGTCGACGCGAGGTTCGCGCGCGCAGAGTCCGTCGGCGCGTTCGAGTCGCGGCCGCGGGCCACGCTGCCCGTCTCGCTCAAGTGCGACTTGTAAATGTCTTCGGGCGTCTTGGCGTCGACAACGTCGAGGTCCCGCGCGAGCGCCAAAAACTTGTCGCTCAAGTCTGTGTTGCTAATCTAGATGGCACCAGGTGATTGCGAGGCCGTGGATACAACACAGCGTACCATGTCGTTGGCCGACGCTTCGTGCTCGTCTTCAAAGCAAAAGCGCTGGCGGCCGAGAATGTAGCCCATCTGGTGACGCGTGGCCGTGTCGGTGCATTTGGCGAAGACGTCGGCGACGAGCTCTTCGCTGCCCATGCGAAGTGCGACGCGAAGCGCGTCCGGGTACTGCTCGACGCGGATGTAAACGGCGTACGCCGTCTGCAGCAACGTCAGAAGGTCGTCCGGGTCCGACATGAAGTCGGCGCACGCCAAGAGGTACAAGCACACGCGCTGGTAGTTCTTGTCGTCAATTTCCGTGGACTCAAGAAGCTTGTCCAGCTTTTGGACCTCGATAAGAATGTCGATCGCCTCCGGCTCGGCGTTGTGCTGCATGTGGAAAGGCACGATGGCATCGACCATGACCATGAGGTCGTCGACCGTGGCCGTCGCGCCGTTGGGGCCCGTGATGCGTGCCGTGTATTCCTATGCGTGGAACTGAGAAATCGACTTTTCTCGGCCACTTCAAGCTCACCTCGCCGACTTCGCCAGCCAGCGACCGGACGAATTCGTGGCCCCAGAGACCAAGCTCGGTCGAGTTGCCCTTGAGCTTGTAGTGGAGGCTTTCGCGCGAGCCTTCAGGGGCCATCGTCATGGCCAGGACGGCCAAGATATCGGCGAGCGCCTTCTGCGTCGTGATCGTGGCGTACGCCGTCTTGAGCGCAGCGTAGTGCGGCCGCAGAAACTTGAGCGGCTTGGGCACCGACGTCATGCTCGACGTCGCCGTGCGGATGAGCTGGCGGAGCGTCTCGAGCGCGTGCGCCTTGACGCCGGTCTGCTCGGCCGGGTCGCAGATGCGCGCAACGCTCATCTCGAGGTCTTCCTTGAGCTGCTTGTCCTCCTCCGAGAGGTCCTCGGGGTCAACCACCTTGTCGTTGGCCGTCGGTTCCTTCTGCTTCACGGGCACGGGCTCGTCGCTCGTCTTCTTCTTCGGGTCTTGCGACGGTACTTGCACGGTCACCGCGTCCTTGGCCATCTTTCCCTTCGATCTGCGAAAGCTTTTTGACCCCACACAGGAGCCAATTCCCTCTCAAACAGCATGCTTTATTCTCTTTCACAGGATTTACCACCTTTGTCGATATTATCCAGACAGTCTCATATTCATGTATCTTTTCTAAATCGTCCCAATATTTCAACACACTTGGAGGGGCCCCAGCAGACGCTTGTCAAGGCTAAGCACACAAGTACCAAGCAAGCCACCTCTAGAGATATGGTACTAGTCGTGGCGCTTTAAACTAGCAGCATTTTGTACCAAGCCGAGGAAAGGCCCACTGTCGGCCAAGGTACGTGGACGCTTGCGATGACCAAGGCGATCAACTAGACTGCGAGCGATGCGACAGCTGCCGAGAGTAAAAGACTACCACAGGCAAGAGAGCAAGCGACTGCGTTCATGGCCGCAATTGGCAGCTGTGTGCAGTGGACGTACAGGCACATTGCCACAGATTGAGACACATTGGATAATGTTTGTGGGAAAGATTTCGGCACCTGGCCGACTTGCAGTTTGTATCGGCCGCCAAAGATCTTATTTCGCGGAAGAGCATGAAGCGCCTCTTCAAGCTTCCGTCCAAGTACCATGGCGTCGGGCCCGTGACCTTTGCGTGGCAGCCCAAGGGCAACTTCCTGGCGACGGCAGGCAAGAACGGTACCATGACCTCCTATGGGCGCTCGAGGTGGATGATGCGCATGATGGCGTAGGCTTGGTGCACATCATTGACCGACAAGGCGTCCAGTACGATGAGATCGGCCTCGATATGTCGACGCCGGTCGTTGCGCTCGAGTGGGACCGCGACGGCAACACGCTTGCGATCCTCCAGTCGGGCAATGGCCTCATCCCGCTCTGGGACCTCTCGACGCGCTCGACGTCCAACATTGACACCAACATGAAGGACCCGTCGTTCATCAAGTGGTCGTCGTCCGGCATCCAGCTCGGTAGGCGCCTCTATCATAGCATGCGTTGCGAGCCTATATGTAGCAATCGGGACGGCGAAAGGCAACCTCGTGCTCTACAACAAGTCGACGCGCAAGCTCGTCCCGATCCTCGGCAAACACTCCAAGAAGATCACCTGCGGCGTCTGGAACAGCGAGGACCTCCTCGTGCTTGGCGCCGAAGACAAGATGGTGACGATTAGCAACGCTGCTGGCGACACGGTCCAGCAGCGCGAGCTCAAGTACGCAGTACGTCACTTCTCGTATTTGCTCTTTGGTTTGAGCATCGTGCGATGCATAGCCCGTCGAATGCAAGTTTGGCCGGCAGAAAGGCGACCCTGGCGGCGCCAAGGCGCCCGAGAACATCGTAGCAATCAACGTCTCCAAGTCGCTCATTCTGCTCAACCTCAACGACCCGGACAACCCGATCGAGCTCACGTTCCAGAGTGTACCACCTACGACGTTTAGGGTTGCATTGACGGGTTGTAGCACTATGGCACGATCAAGTCGTTCGACTGGTTCAGCGGCGGCTACCTCATGCTCGCCTTCTCGGAAGGCTTTGTCATTTGCATTTCGACGCAGATCGAAGTCCGTTGTCGTTGCCCTCATGGTCGTCATGCGATGCGTCGTAGGAGATCGGCGAAGAGCTCTTCTCGGGCCGCTTCTTCTCGGAGCGCACGTACGCCGTGTGCTACTCGGCGGCGCTCAACCGCGTCGCGATGAGCGGCGAGTCGGGCATCAAAGTCATCGACCTCGGCAACTACACCGAGATCAAGGGCGACGCTGTCAAGCTCTCGGACGCCGAGGTTGCGCCGATATGGACATTGACAGGCCTTGACGACAGTGACGGCTAGGACAACGAGGCCAACCTCATGAGCTTTACATCGGACGGCCAGATCCTCACGGTGGCAACCCAAGGCGGCATCGTGCAGACGTTCCTCGCGCGGATCGTCAACATCTTTGACCACGTCGGCAACTACGTCGTCTACCTGAGCTCGCTGCGGGAGCTCACGATCATCGACACGCTTGGGCGCGCGAGTCCGATCAACATCCAAGTGTCCATCGAGCCTTCGTTCATTGCGATTGGACCGCGCCACGTCGCTGTCGGCATGAACAACCGCGTGTACTTTTACCGCTGCGACGGCTCGAGCCGCGATGCGCTCGTCAACGAGCAGCAGTACCTCGGGCGCGTCACGAGCGTCAAGCTCAACCGCGGTGCGTCACGGTCTCGTCCGAACCCGGTATCTAGATGTTGGGTGCCATTAGAGTACGCGGCCGTGCTCAGCGATGGCAAAGTGCTGTTGCACCCGATCGAGCCCACGTCGTCCCACGGTGCGGAAGGAGCTCGTGTGCGTCTTTGGAGCCTATCGCTGGTACTAGGCGCCGAGCAGTCCAAGACGTTTCCCGAGACGCACGGACGCGACGAGTCGCTCCAAGAGATCAGCTCGATCGCGCTCACAAAGGACTTTTTCATCTTTGCGACCGCGAATGGCAACGGCACGATCCAGTTCTTCTACCTCCAAGAGTGGAAGCTGCTCGAGGGCTGCTGCTACAGGCACGACGAAGGCATTGGCATCGTGCACATTGCACCCAACACGCCCGGCACCAAGATCGTCTTCATGGACTCGCGCCGCCGCGGCTACATGCTCAACGCGACCAACCGCGAGGCGATCTCGATCCCGAGCATGCCGAGCGCCACGAGTGCGATTCTCTGGGACACGATGGATCCGACCGTGTTTGTCGCAGTCGAAACTAGCGACTTCTCCGTCTTCATGCACTCGGAGCTCACGGTCAACGGCCCGGAAGTCACGCAGCTCGGCACGATGGACATTGACAACAACGGCGAGTATGTCATGTCGCCAGCGACGACCAAGATTCCGTCGGGGCATGCAGCGATCCTCTTTTGCGACGGGAACCTCACGTGCCAGCAGCCGGGTGGACAGCTCATGACGGTCGTGGCGGGCACCCACGACGCCCTCCAAGTACGTGTGCATGGGATCTTTCAAGGCTCAGTTCTGTCGGTAGAAGGGCACGGTGCGCGACTCGGACAAGGCCATTTTCAAGCAAACGCTTGCCTTGTGCCGCATGACCAACGCATGGAAGGCAGCGGTGGCGATCGAAAGCCGCGAGTACTGGCTCGCCCTCGCCAGTACACAACAAACAGAATTTGCCAACCAGTGTTTTCACATGGGCTTTGTAGGCCGAGCGATGCATACGCTGGATATTTCGCTCTCCAAACGCGTGTACCGGCAGCTGGGCGACGCCGGCATGGTCCTCGGGCTCGATCGCATCGAGCATGTCGAAGACAAGAACCTCCTCGCCGGCCACGTGTCGATGCTATTTGGCCAGTATGATCAAGCTCAAAAACTGTTTTTGGCGTCCTGCGACCCGATGGCCGCCCTCTCGATGCAGCGCTACTTGCTGCAGTGGGACCAAGCGCTCTTGCTCGCCGACTCGCTCGCAGTGCACCTCGTGCCCGAGCTCAGTGCGTCGTACGCTGCGCAGCTCGAGTTCAAGGGGGACTTTGACGGCGCGCTCAAAATGTACGAGCACGCGTGCAATGCGATGGACCCGCTCGGAACGCCCGTCGTCGCTTCCGAGAAGATCCAGGCCCAGTGCATGGCCGGCCTTGCGCGCTGCACGTTGCGGCTCGGCGACCTCCGCCGCGGCATCCGGCTCATCTCGGACCTCAACGACGTGGTGCTGAGCAACGAAGGCGCGCTCATCCTCGAGGGCCTCAAGCAGTTCTCGGACGCGGCCGCCTTGTACGAGAAGGGCCAGCAGTTTGAGAAGGCAGCGCAGATTTACATTCAGATGAAGCAGCTCGGCAAGGCCGCCCCGCTCATGGCCAAGGTCACAGTACCCAAAGTCCACGCGCAGTTTGCCAAGGCGAAAGAAGCGGTGGGCGAGTTCAGTGCTGCGTCCGACGCATACGAAGCCGCGAACGACATGGACAACGTGGTGCGCATCCAGCTGGAGCACTTGAACAGCCCCGAGCGGGCGTTTGCGATTGTGAAAGCGACCAAGTCCTCGGAAGGCGCGTCGGTGGTCGCCAAGCACTGCGTCGACACGGGCAACTACGCGGCCGCGATCGACTTTCTCCTCATGGCCAACCGCGAAGAAGAGGCGTTCCAGCTTGCGCAGCAGCACAACGAGATCGACGCGTTCACTCAAGTACCTCGTGTGGCAACTTGAGCGCGTTCCCATGACTCGCTATGTAGATCATCGGAGAGGCCATCTCGGCGGATCGCGCGCTCAAGATTGCGCAGCACTACGAGCAGACGCAGGCGTACGCGAGGGCGGGCGAGTACTACCAAGTGTGCGGCAACTACCACAAGGCCCTTCGGCTCTTCCTCCAGTGCGGCGAGTCAGAGCTTGGCAAAGCCATCGACGTCGTCGGGAAGGCGCGCAACGACATGCTCACGCATACGCTCATCGACTTCCTCATGGGCGACACGGACGGGATCCCCAAGGACCCGAACTACATCTTTCGTCTGTACATGGCCCTCGGCAACTACGCGCAAGCGGCGAAAACCGCCATCATCATTGCGCGCCAAGAGCAAGAGCTCGGCAACTACAAGGTCCGTCGCTGCATACGACCAGGCTGCGGATGTATATGCGTAGGTCGCCCACGATGTGCTCGTGGAGACGCACCGGCAGCTGCTCTTGCACAAGATCCACGTCAACCAAGATTTGCGCAACTCGCTCACGCTGCTCCACAGCTACGTTGTCGTCAAGAAGCTCGTCAAGCGCGGCGACCACGTCGCCGCCGCCAAGATGCTTCTCCGCGTAGCGAAGAGCATCTCCAAGTTCCCAACCCACGTGTCCAACATTTTGATCTCGGTCGTCATCGAGTGCCAGCGCGCGGGCCTCAAGGGCAGCAGCTACGAGTACGCGACGATGCTCATGCGCCCCGAGCACCGCAATTCGATCGAGAAGGAGATCAAGCGCAAGATCGAGGCCATCGTGCGTCGGCCCAACAAGGAGCAGCCGCCGGACAACGCGACGCCGTGCCCCTTTTGCGCGCACCCGGTCATTGACGTCGATCTGGACTGCAGCCAGTGCAAGAACTGGATCCCGTACTGCGCCGTGACGGTACGACCAGATCGCCGTTTTTGTGCTCATTCGGGATTAGGGCTACCACATGGTCAAGGCCGACTGGAGCGTGTGTCCCCACTGCCAGTTCCCCGCCCTCTACTCGCACTTTACAGCGCACCTCCAAGCCGAGCCGGGTACGCTTCGCGATGGTCAAGTGGTGTTGAATGGAGCCGATAGCGTGCCCGATGTGCGACAAAGAGCTCCAGCCCGACGACATCCACCGAGTCCAAGAGAACGACGTCAAGCTCTCGACGATCGAACTGCAAGCGCCCGAGCCGACGACCGACAAGAAGGTCGCAAAGGACACCAAGCAAGGCGACCTCTTTGCCTAGTCCTGTGCATCCAATCTACATCCCATTTGGCATCACACAGCGTATGGTTTTCGCACTGTAGGACAACCTGTGCACAAAAGGTCGCGGTGGAACGATCTATCTATCTATATATCTATCTATCTATCTATCTATCTATCTATCTATCTATCTATCTATCTATCTATCTATCTATCTATCTATCTATCTATCTATCTACTAGTATCCAACAATCGAGGATATTGGGATAGCGAATTCCGTGTCACTGAACTGGGCGGTCATGTGTCACTGGACTGTGCGGTCGCTGATTGGTGGATTGGCATTTGGTGACGGATGGAGAACGTCTTGAAGGACATGGTGTCGTCGGGCGCGGGCGACGACGTGGCGCAGGCGCAGTTCGCCAAGGCCGAGGAGATGCGCGCGCAGTCGCTCGCCAAATGTAGTCGCTTTGAATGCGCTTCTCGCGGCCTCTCACGTATCCGTAGGCTCCAAGGTGCAGTTCCTCGTCGAGATCATGGACCGCATGGGCTGCAAGATCGACCCAAAGACGTTCTTCAAGAGCCAGCACTGCAACGGCAACATCAACGGCGGCTTTAGCCTCAACGAAGACGGGTCGCCGTCGGTCGTGCTCTGCCAGAACCACATCCAGGACCAAGAGTGGATGGACCGCACGGTCGCCCACGAGCTCATCCACGCGTTTGACCACTGCCGCGCCAACATCAACTGGGAGCGCGACTGCGACCAGCACGCGTGCAGCGAGATCCGCGCGGCCGCGCTCAGCGGCGACTGCGACTGGAAATTCGAGGTCATGCGCGGCCACTTTTCGATTCCCAAGCAGCACCAGGTACGGACCTTCGGTTCTTAGTTTCTTAGTTTCTGAGAGAGACGCGGTAGGAGTGCGTGCGTCGCCGGGCCGTGCTCTCGCTGCAGTACAACCCCATGTGCCAGGGCAAGGAGGACAAGTGCGTCGAGAAGGTCTTTGAGACGTGCTATAAGGACACGCTGCCGTTCCCGGAAATGCCATAAGATGTAATATCGACGACAAATGCAACAGGAAACGACAATATTGTGGCCATTGACGCACGCGGGACTAGTTGTAGTAGCTCTGGCGCTTGCGGCGAAAGAGCTTAAAGTACGGCGACCGGAAGAGCTGCGAGAGAATGCACGTCGAGAACCACGTCGTCACGAGGAGGCAGACGCTGCTTTGGCTCGAAAAGTATGGGAACGCCGAGAGCTTCTCGTAGAGCGGCGCCATGAGCTGTCCAAAGACGCTCACAATGTACCTAGAGACAAGATAGAGAGATATGGACACGAAGCATCCATATCGTCGTACAAATTGTGCGACGCATGGTACACGGCGCTCGACCAAATCGCGTGGCTTGTCTTGCCTTGGATCCAGCACATGGTCATGCGAGCGCCGATGAGGACGAGCGTGAAGAGAACGAGCACGCTCACGAGCTCATACGACGGCGCCTCGACGATAGCGTAGCCCGACCCGGTCGGAATCCAGTTGAAGTACTCGGCAATGATGAGCGGCCAGTGCCAGAGCGCCCAAACGACACCGGTCGCGATGGATGCAAGGAACGCGCTGTGGCCGCAAATGATCTCGAGCGCTAGCATATTACAAAGTAAGGACGACGCTCGAGGGCAGAGGACGACGACGACCTGGGTACAAGGCGCCACTCCAGCCGATCTCTTGCGCGACGGCGAGGAGGAGCCAACTGCACCCTACGTAAACACCGCGTTCGCATGCAACGACGCGATCATCGAGGTACCCATTGCGCGGCCGCCAAACGCGATGCCAACGTCGTAGCGCGGTGGCGGGATCGGGTCCCAAAAGACACCGGCAAGGACGACGTAAAACACGTAAAAGACGAGCCCGCCATCCATGGCGTCGGGGTTGCCAAAGCTAAAGACCGTCTCGGCGCGCTCGACGAACGCGCGGTTGAACTAGGAACATGGCTGCCGCGAGGTCTGCAGTAGAACCAAGAAGACGTTGGCGGCACGTACCGGGTTGACCATCCGCGTCGCGGTCGTGAGCGTGTAGGCTGCAATTTGGCAAAAGAGCGGAATGCAGTAGCTCAAGACGAGAAGCCGCACCATGGACGACCGCGGGTAGCATGCAAAGAGGTCGCGCCATTGCGGCACTTCCCACATAGGCGCGCCGCCCTCGCCGAGGTGGGCAAACACGATGCGACGGAGCGCCATGGCGGCCACAGCCGGAGAAACGAGCCAGATGAGGTGGCATACTGTACTGCAAGCTATGGGCAGCGAGAAGAGACCGCAGAGCACGAGACCCGTGAGCGAAAGCGTCGAGACGCAGAAGAGAGAGACGAGGAACGCGTGGACGCCGTCTTGGTAGGCGCAGACAACCTCGGGCGCAAAGAAGTTGCTCAGCGGCCCCGAGCTTCGAAGGTGGGCCTGGGGCTGTAGTAGCGGGTAATACTCCTCCCAGATGTTGCTGCCGCGGGCCTTGGGCTTGGCCGTGGCGTCGAGGCTTGCGGCCGCCATGCTGCAAGATCCCAAATCACACAAGCGGTGTATCCGGATACGCTACCTTGAAGGCTCCGGTCTTGGATATGGACCATATTGATCCATATCGTGAAATCGGCGATCAATATATTGCTCGAAGATGGCGCGGATGCCGCGACGGCCGAACGCGGCTGCGCGTGCACCCAGCATTTCCTTCGAGAGACGACGGCGCGCTGGCACTTCGACCCACGACAAAGCTACTCCCACTCGTGTCTGGCTTCCCTCCTGGCTTTCTGATATTCGCCATGGGTAGCGCGCTCAAGTTCCAATATGAATCATCATCCCAAAGATATTATTGCAATCTTCCCGCGAAACCTGCTGGCAGCGCGGGCAAGGCCGAACGCAACAGCATGCGACATCGCAGACGCCCTCATCCCAGCATCCACCGCCTATCCGCCAGTGCATGCGACGAGGTCGGCCGCGCCGCAGCGCTTGCGGTGGGAGGATTGTATATTCGACCGACTTCAATATAGTGTCTCCAATCGTCGCCTCGCGGTCATTACGGCGGCCTGTCAAGCGCCGCCGTCGTGCATCGGTCGTTGGCGCCACGCTGACCGTACGTTGCCGTACATTGGGCGGAGCGACGCGTGCCACTCTCGGCGCTCGAAGACTCAGCGCCCTTCTTCGCGTCGCGCCGCAGACGGTCGGTGCGGACAGCAGCAACGACGAGGCCCTTGGCTCTGCGTAGCGGCCAAAGACGCGGCGGGATCCGGGAATTTTCGCCGCGCGGATCTTCTGGCCGCGTGCACGGCCACGCGTGCAAGACACTTGGGTACCGTTCTGCCACCAAGCGCTGCGATCGCACTACACGTCTCTCTTGCATGGGTTCAGACCGGCACGTACATGCTCCACACGCAACTCCGCGCGGCGCTGCGTCTCGAACAATACCACGCCCGCCGCTTCCGCGAGCTCTACGAGGCCGCGCTCGTCCATGTCCACGTGCTCGAAGCCCGCGCGGCGTGCTTTGAACGCGCGCAGCAGTGCCGTTGGTACAGCGACCCGCTATACGTACAAGCGCCCCGCCTGCACAGTACGATGCACGATGGGCTGCCGTGGCACTACGCAGCGCGCCACGACGCGCGGGCGACGCCGACCGCCTCGCTGCGACCCGCGCGCCTTCTCTTCAAGGAGCTCGCGCGGATGCCCGTACGTTTGTACCGACGGCGCGCTGCGGCCCGCGCCCAACGGCTCTACTTCCAGGAGCTTGTCGGGCTCCTGCTCGCGTTTGAATAGCTGACTATCACATTTCGCCCAAGTTAACCTAGCCCTAGCCCTGGCCCTAGCCCTAGCCCTGGTTAGCGCGCGATGGACAGCGCCGTGCGGTGTCGAGTTGATATTGCAGTGATGACGAGAGAATGGCGCTGCTTTGTGGTCGCTTGCATATGCGTCGTCGTCTTTGCTGACGGAACCAACTTGACACAAAAAACTGCAAATTGCAGTGGGGCGCGTGTTAAATAATACTAAAATACGTAAAAACTAGAAAAATGACTAATAATACTCTAGGGCGACAGCAACGACGAGGTCGGCGAGCCCGTCGGCGTGGTTTGCGCGAGGACCTTGTCGAGGTACCCGCCTTCTTGGCAGAGCTCGTAAAAGATGCCGCGGCCGAGCGCGATGAGGTCGTTTGGGCTGTCGCACTGCGCGATGCGGCCTTGGTCAAAGACCAAAATGCGGTCGCAGTCGAGGACCGTGTCGAGGCGGTGCGCGATCGTGAGCACCGTCGAGTTGGCAAACTCGGTGCGAATGACGCGCTGGAGGAGGACATCGGTCGCGTGGTCGATCGCCGCCGTCGCTTCGTCCATGACGACGACCTTGGCTTGCCGAAGGAGGGCGCGGGCCATGCACAGCATTTGGCGCTCGCCAACACTAAAGTTCTCGCCGTTCTCTTCGACGGTCGAGTCGAGGCCGTCGGCGCGCGCGATGCGGTCGCGCATGTGCACCTTGGCGAGCGCGGACCAGAGGTCGGCGTCGACAAACTCCTCAAACGGGTCGAGGTACTGGCGGAGCGAGCCTTTGAAGAGCACAGGGTTTTGCGGAATGATAGCCAGCCGGCTGCGCAGCGTGCGGACGCCAATGGTGGCGAGATCGACGCCGTCAATCTCAATCTTGCCGGACGCAAGCTCGGCGATGCGGAAGAGCGCCATGGTCAGACTCGACTTGCCCGCGCCCGTGCGCCCGACGATGCCGACCTTTTCGCCGGCGCGGATCGAGACGCTCACTTGCTTGAGCACGAGCGGGTCGTACGACTTGTAGCGGAAGCTGACGTTCTGGATGCTAATCGCTCCGTGCTCGGGCCACGCTTTTGGCACTGCGCCTGGAATCACGCGCGGCGGCTCGGTGGGCACGCTGCAATACTCTGCAATGCGCTCGGGGCCGACCATCGCCGTCTCGACTTGGGCGCCGATCGAGACAATGTACTCGAGCGACGGCAGCATGTTGAACGTGTAGTTGAGGACGAGGCCGATGAGGCCGGGCGAGAGCATGCCCCGGAGGTACACGAGCGAAATCGACACAAAGAGCACGAGGTGCGCCGAGAGCAGCTGCACGCGGAGGATGAACCACTGCGTCATGACCTGGCTCGCAAACGTCGCGCTGTTGGCGGCGTCGACGTTGGCCTGGTGCGTCGACTGGAACCGGTCCATGTGCTTTTGGCCAAAGGCACGGATGACGAGCGCGCCGTCAATGCACTCGGAAATGAGATTCAGCATCGGCGACTTGGTGGTCTTGGCGACACGCTCCATCTCGCGGGCCGGCGTCACGTAGCTGCGCGCGAGCTGCACGTAAATGTAAACGAGCGGCAAGAGCAGAATGCCCGCGGCCTTGATGACGAGCACGGTCGTCGTGAGCTGCACCAAGACAGAGAAGATGACGCCAGTGAGCGGATCCAGCAGCATCGGCAGTTGGACGTCGACCGTGTTCATGTCGTTCGAGAACCGGTTGAGGACGCGGCCGAGCGGCGTCGTATCGAAAAACTGCATCGGCGCCTGCAGCAGCGACAACGTCATCTTGTCAAAGAGCGCGCGCGACGCGCGGAGACCGCCAACAAAGATGCTGACCGTGCGCAGCGTGCACATGAGGATGCCGCCAAGCGCTAGACCGGCGTACGTCCAGAGGTACACATGCGAGTCGGCGGTCGATGGCGCTGAGCTCCACGCGCCCAGCATGAGGTCGCCGGCCACCTGCATCGTCTGTCCGACGAGGAGAAGAACCGCCCAGCATAGTAGGACCTTGACGCCGCCAATCGCGCGCACGTAGGACGCAAACACCTTGGTCGAGACACGGCCTTTCGAGCGCATTTCTTGGAAAATGAGCTGACCGGTCGGCGAGCTCTCTTCTTCGTACGCGTACGGCGGGTAGGCGGGCATCGGCAGCGGCGACGGCTCGTCTTCGTGCCCGTCCGAGGCGTCGCTCGAGCAGCGAGAGAAGACGAGCTGCTGCAAAAGCGGGCTCGGGAGCTCCTTCTGCACCGGCGTGTTGGTAAGGACGCCGTGCTTGGTGACCTCGATCGTGCGGTCAATGAGCTTGGACGAGATGATCTCGGGGCAGTGGGTCACGAGCAGAATCGTCTTCTTGGCCAAGAGACCGAGAATGCACTTGGTGAAAATATCGTTCTGGACGATCGCGTCGACGGCCGACAAGGGCGCGTCCAAAAGAAAGATGTCGGCGTCGCTATAGCACGCTCGCGCCAGCGCAATGCGCGCCTTCTGGCCGCCAGAGACGTTGATGCCCTTTTGGCCAATTTCCGTGCGGTCGCCGGCCGGCAGCAGCGCCACGTCCTTGGTCAGCGCGCAGGCGTCGAGGACGGCCTGGTACTTCTTCCGGTCGTAGCGGCGGCCAAAGAGGATGTTGTCGCGGATCGACGAGTTTTGGATCCACGCCTGCTGCGAAAAGTACGCAACGTCGCCGCCCCGGTACACTAGACTACCGTCGGCCTTGTGCATCTCGCCCAGCAGCGCCGCGATGAGCGACGACTTGCCCGCGCCGACGACGCCGTGGATCACGACAAGCTCGCCTTTCGCAATAGAAAGATCGACGTTGGCAAAGAGGGGCGGCGTCTCGGCCGTCCACGCAAACGTGCCGTGGGCGATGACAATGTCGTACGCCGCATACGCCTTGGCGGCGTCGGGGTGCGTCGCCGGCGTCATGACTTCAGCGGCGTCCTTCTCGTGGAGGTCGAGGAACTCACGTATCCGCCGCGTGGCGACGAGTGCCTGCATGAGGTTGGCGATGACTTGGGGCAGCGCCATCATCGGGAACCGGAGCATGCTAAAGAGGCTCAGCGCCGTAAAGACCTTGGCGGCCGACAGCGTCTTGTGCATCACGAGCGTGTACGTGCCAAGCGATGCGATCGTGACGACGATCGGGGCCGCGAGGAGGAGACCGACCCAGACCGACTGCAGGCGAAAGACACTGCGGAGCGCGCCGAGCTCGGCTTCGCGATCGCCCGAGACCTTGTCGTAGAACTTCTCCTCCCACGCGTTGAGCTTGAGGATCTGCATCGCGCCAAAGATCTCGCCGACCGACTTCATGCGCGCGTCCTTGAGCTCCATGAGGCGCCGGAACACCGAGCGCTGGGTTGTCGCGAGGCAGTTGTTGGTGACGAGGACAACGCCAATGACGCCAGCACCGACAAACGCCGCGTACCCGATCACGCGGTGGAGCATGTACAGGATCGCAATCGTCTGGAGTGGGAAGAGCCAGAGCTGGTTGGCGCCGACGGAGAAGTTGATGATGGCTTGGACGTCGGTCGAAAACATGTTGGCGATTTCGCCCGAGCTCTTCTCTCGGCGGGCGCTCGCGTCCAGTACGAGCGCCTTCTGGAAGAGAAGGTGCTGCAGCGCCGACGTCACATCGAGCGCAATGCGCTGCGTCTCGAAACTCACGCGCGCGCTCAGAATGGCCTGGACCACCTTGACAATGTAGAGCGCGCCGACGACAAAGAGGACGTCGGCCATCGCAAAGGCGCCGGCGTCGGCGCTCGCGGCCGAGACGATCTCGTGCAGCACGTACGGCGCGTAGAGCGTGCAGCCGACGACGAGCACCTGGATGGCGCCAATGGCGGCAAAGCGCCGCCCGTGGAGCGATAGGATCGTACGCAAGATCGAGTGCGAGCTCCGCAAGCTGCGCTCGAAGCGGCGGCTCACACGCTTGCAGACATGCGACGGCTCGAGCGGCCAGACGTCGGCCATGTCGAGCTGCCGCTCGTTCCCGAGCGCGAGCAGCGGCGAGGTCCATAAATAGAGCGCGCGCGAGAGGTGCGACGCGTGTGTGCGCGGGTGGAGGTCGGGTTTGCGCTCGTGGCCGAGCGAGACCGCCGAGTAGGACGGCGGCACCGGCGGCATAACAACGAGGGGTGGGCGATTGAAGAATGCCATGCGGAGCACATGCTGCCCGCGGGCGTTCCGAGACATGCTGTGAGCTACCCATGTGAGTGCCTCCGCCATGCGGTCGCAAAGTCTTGTCCCACGCGCGCCGTCGACTCGGTACATGGCGTGGATACAGCGCCAGGTCAAACCGTACAACGTCCATTCCCGTACGTACCGTCCAACGTGGCACCCAATCGCATGCGCTTGTCGGTGTCAACACGGCCTGTCGACACCGCGGACGGGGGAAACAAGCTGTACGATGTACGAGCAATGTACGGAAGATTCATGTTGCCCTTTCTGCGAGATCGCAAGAAGATCGCCGGCCAAATCTTCAAACGCCAAATGTGCATGACGTAGCAGCGTCTTCGGCGCCTTTGCCACGGCCGCCGTGCGAGCGCGTCGTCGACGGCCTGACGAAGGCTGCCTGCGGTGCAAGTTGAACATGGCAAGACCACGTGTCCCACATCAATCAAAACGCACTCTGGGATCAGAGCTGCTATCTCTGGGAGGGTGTATGGAGCAAGGCAACGAGTGGCTTCAAGGTGCTTCCTAAAGTTGAGCCGATGCGCCGTACGATGTACCTGTCGTAGCGTAGTACCCGTCGGCAGTAGCAGTGGCGCGTGCTAAGATGAAGCACCTACGGTAGTGCGCGGACGAAGAGTCGGTGGCTTCGCTGCGACGTCCGGAGGCACCTGTGGCGATTGCATGACTTGGTAGAGTACGTGGTGCAACGGTGCGATCAAGAGCCCAACAACGGCGAACGCCACTGAAGTGATGTTCGATGTGTCATTGTATACCAGACACGACTCTACTCTTTACACAGTGATAGCCGAGTCTTCGTGCTGGACGTCTTGGATCTCGAACAAACGGATCTTCTCGGCCATGCTACCGTCAGGGTACACGGCCGCGACGCGCGACACGTCGTCGGGACTATCGAGGAGGCGCCGCACCGAGAGACCGGCGTGTCCAAGAAGCCGGAAGAGCATGTCGTCGGACGCGGAGCTTCGCGTTTGGTGCGACAGCAGCATGAGTCGGTTCTTTTTACTGCGCCCTGGCGTCAGTGGCCAGCGCAAGAGCCGCTCAATGGTTGCAACCAGGGCGGGAATCAATGTCTCAACCCACACAATGTCCGAACCCAGGATCACGTCGGCCGCGTCGAGCTGCAACGACGACGGGAAGTCGCGATGGAACCAGTCGAGCTCTGCAGCGCGCGTTGTTTGGGTCGGGTGCAAGGCGCGCAACCGCTCCTTATTGAGTGCAATGTTGTGGTTGGTATTGGCCAGCGTGTACGCAAGGTCGGTCAGGAGCACATCATCGGCACCGCAAAAGGCCGCGGCGAGCCCGACGAGCCCGGTGCCAGCACCGAGCTCAATGACGCGGCGCCCAGCGACGCTGTGGGGGCTACCTCGCGGCTGCTGCTCGAGGTACTTGGCCAAGACCACCGAGCCATCCCAGATCGTCAAACCCGTGCCTTGGCCCGTGTTGCCGACCTCATCAATGAGCACGGGCTCTCCGTGGATCGTCATCTCGCCCTTGTCGAATGCAAAGTTGAAGCCGCGACTCGCGATCGCAGCGACCGCGCCCGATGGCCGGCGCGGGAAAAGGATACGCGCATGGGTCTTGACTTGCGCGGCGGATGTCAATGGTACAAAGGTGTTGGCGCTGGCGTCGAAAATGGTCATGGGCGTGGCGTCGCCGGCCGCTGACGGCGGCAAGAGAGCGTGGATGGCCGACGTGATGGCTTCGATCGAGGCATCTTTCGGCACGCGCACGCGCTGGTGGCCGTCAAAGTAGCCATCAGCTTCGACAATCAAGACGTTCATGGAGAACACGCGAGTCGTGAGGCAGACGAGCAAGAAGGTCGCTAGTCGCATGTACTAGTAGCAATTGAAAAGCGCACCTATCTCGCGAGATAGCATTGGGTGCGCTTTTCGTACGCCAATCAGCGTTGGCGAGGATCGCATCCAGCCCAGACAACGTGCGAATTTGAATGGAGGCAAGCGGGAAGACGACCGAAGCGGCGCCGACGGCCGTGCTGCCAGTGGCCGCCCCGGCGCCGGCAATCGAGACGAGCACGCCGACGCCCACTGCTGCGCCCGCCGAGGCAGAGCCGGCGCAAAAGCTCGTGGGCAAGAAGCGCCGCCGTGAGCGAAAGCAAGCGCTCAAGAAGTCGCAGCTCTGCCGCCACTTTGACAAGCCGACGGGCTGCCCGTTCCCGGACTGCGTCTACGCCCACGGCTTGTACGCGGATACATACATGCGCTCAAGCTCACAATACGCGGGATAGGGACGAGATCCAGGACGGCGGCGCCATCACGGTCTCGGCCCAGCGCAAGCTCCTGCGCGAACAGGGCGAGCAGCGCCAAAACGAAAAGTTCATCTTGAGCACAAAGGACGCCAAGGACGCGCCGGTCGCCGAGTACGTGGCGCGCACGGGCTCGATGGTCGACCGCTACTACACGCGCTTGTATGCGTCCGACGTGCTGGAGAAGCCCAACGAGGACCAGTTTGTCAACATGCACTCGAACCGCCTCTGCGTCGTACGGCCCGTCTTTGTCCCATGCACTATCCTCACTCGCGCGACTACTAGCTGGGCATTGCGCCGGGCCACGCGATCTTCAAGGACAACCTCACGGTGACCAAAGTTGAGTTTGAGCAGTCCGTGCTCGACAACAAGGTCTCGGGAAAGAAGAAGAAGGGCGGCGTGTGGTTCAACCCGCAGTCGATCGTCTGCCGCATCGTGTGCGCCAACGACGTGACGTACAGCATCCGCAGGTAGGTCCCCCACCACAAGCCCGCTTCATGCTCGGAGCTAGCTGCATCCGCGGTGCCCTTATCGAGTTCAACGAGCGCCTACTCGAGACGCCCGAGCTCGTCACGCGCAAGGTAGCATCATTCTCGTGCGTCTTCGTGATGTACATGCTAACGTAGCCGTTCACGGAAGGCTTCCTCGCCATCGTGCGCCCCAAGCCCGTCGAAGTGGCCGAGATCCAAGCGTCGCTGCTCAAGCACGCCGACTACGTGGCGCTCCGCGGCTTCACCGACCCCAAAGTGTTTCAGTAATACAGTGCGGTATCTGCATTCATACGACGCAGCCTTACAGCGGGTGGGCTTACGTGGGCTTGCGAATCACTGCGTCCAGCATCGTGCGCATGAAGCGCGTGAGCTCGCTTCGGGAAAAGCTCAGATCCTCCTGTAAATGAGGTGAGTCGACGCATGGGAATACAAAGAGAAAACATACGAGGAGGTAGGCCGGCGCGGTGGCGTCGGCTTGGCGCTTGTGGTACGCGACCTCTTCCGGCGACGGCAGGTAGTCAATCTGCTTGCGCGGGTTGGCCGGAATCGCGAGCTCAAAGGCAAACTGCTGCGCTCGGAGCGAGTCGGTGACGCGGCAAGCGACTTCCTGCACATCGCCGTCCTTCTTGAGCGTCATGTGCATGCTCGTGACCAGCTCGTACATGCGCAGCAGCTACGTGGGCGGCGTTTGTTGGATGTAGAATAAATATGTCCAGTATGCACCTTGTTGGTGTGCGCGAGCTTGGCGTGCATCTCGGAGACTGACGCGTTGGCCGACAACGCGGGCTGCTCAGCCTGCGTTTCCTCAAGCTGCAGCCGCAAGGACGTGTTTTCCGCTCGCAGTTGGTCGAACTTTTGCTTGAGGTCAGCGAATCTACGAGCAAGATGCGTGAGCCTTTGGCTGCATCGGCGTGGGAACCGACTCGCTCGATGATGCCGACTTGGCGTCTTGCTTGGACTTGGCGCGCTCGAGGTCTTCGCGCATGCGCTCGTACTTGTCGAGCTTCTTTGTGAGGTTGGCAATCTCCTGCTTCATCTTGGACGCGGCCTTGTCGTGGGCATCGGCCTCGGCTTTGGCGAGCTTGCGCGACTCTTCCAGCAGCTTCTCTGGCTCTGTTTGCCGCAGGCTCGAAAGCTCTGCATAGTCGCGCCGCAGCTTCTTCAAAGCAGTCTTGCTGTCCTTGTCGCCGTCCAGGGACAAAAGAACCTCCTCGACCGCAGAGGCAAATGAATCGGGCGACTTGGGCGACTTGGGCGACGCCTTCGGCCGCTTCTCGGGCTTCTTCGCGACAGCATCTGCCTTCTTCGCAGGCTCAGCCTTCTTGGACTCGATCGCTTCGAGCGGGCGCTTCTTCTTGCTGGGCACCGGGTCCAGCGCCGCAGCTGGCGCCTTGGCCTTGGCAGACGGCTTGGCCTTCTTGGCCTCGAGCTTCTTCAACGGGCGCTGATCGTCGCTCTCATCGCTCGAGGACCCATACGTCTTGGCGGGCGTCTCCCACTCGCCATAATGGATGGCCGCCTTCTCCTTGGTCGCCCGTGCCATCGCCGTCGGTCCCAAACACGTTCAAGACACTTCAGGACCTGCATTTTTATTCAGATGGAACTTGACATTTGTATGCTGGAATTGTATTTCCGTCGCGTTGACTAGGAATTCCGGATAAATTAAAGACGTATGCGGAGTGCACGTGACTGGCCGCATTTTGAATCGCGCCAAATGAGCGAGGAAGCATCCATCTTGCTCGGCCTGCCTGCCAAGGACGTCGCCGTCGACGACACATGCCCCTACACGGCCAAGCTGGGAGGCCTGCCGGTATGCGTGCCTAGCCCGACCTCGATAAGACGCAGCGTCTAGGCGTACTACGACCCGGCGACCGCGGTGCCATACGAAGATCTCGTGTGCCCGCGCTGCCAGCACCAGCTCTACCTCGTCGCCCAGGTGTGTGAACGCCAACGCACTCTCTACCTGCAACGTAGCATGCGTTGGCTAGGTGTATGCACCCGTGACGACGGATCGCACGCTCTACATCTTTGGCTGCAACTCGATCAAGTGCACGACGACGACCAACAGGTACTTCAGTCCTCATGATCTTGCTCCATATCAAAAGTATGTGCATCCAATCTTAGCTGGCGCGTGCTTCGATACGAGTCCAAGGTGGCTGAAGAGGTAGTCCCGGACGCCATGCCGCCGCCCGCTCCAGCCGCAACGCCGGGCTGGGGCGACGACGATGATGACGACGATGACGATTGGGGTGACGTGAGCACGTCTGCATGGGGCACTCCGGCCGCGGTGGCTACAACGACTGTGGATCTCGAGGCCCTCCTTGACGCGCGCGACTCGGCCATGACGACGAAGGTCGCTACGACGATTGCCAAGCCCAAAGCGACAACGACGGCGACGACCGCTGCCAGCGCGCGCCCGCACTTTCCCGCCATTTCGCTCCATGTTGAAGGCGAGCCCGAGTCGGCGGGGGCCGAGCGCTACCAGCATGAGACGCAACTTCTCAACGCGTACCTGGCCGAAGAGGAAAAGGAGAACGCAACCGAGGTCGCGCGGCTCAAGACGATCCTCAAGGCCAAGACCGACGTCGTGGCGTCCAGTGGCGGCGGCGAGAGCGAGTCGGTGGAAGCGTACGAGCGCACGCCCTTGCGCGAGAAGCTCTTTCTCCGCTTCCAGAAGCGCATGAAGCGAGCGCCGACGCAGTGTCTGCGGTACCACTACGGCGGCGACCCGCTCTGGTCGTCGCCACCCCCCAAGATCGACGTGCCAGCATGTCCCTGTGGCGCGTCCCGCGTCTTTGAGCTCCAGGTAAACCCAGCCTATCTTGGACACTCGCCCTTTCTCATGCGACTGTAGCTTGTGCCGACGACCAACTACTTTTTGAACGTTGAGAAATACGCCCACGAGACACAACCGGAAGGCGCGGGCCTTGTGCTGGGCGGCGGCATGGACTGGCAAACGGTGCTTGTCTGGTCATGCCCCGACAGCTGCGCGCGCAGCCAAGAAGAGTTTGTGTTCGTGCAGCCCGTCACGGACGCCTCGACGAAACCCCAGCACGACTAAGAACACATCTTGTGGCGCTATGCTCTTAGCAGCGTTCAAAGATCTTGTAGAGGTTGTTCAGGCTCGCAATCGGGCGCAGAATGCCATTGTCGTGGAGTTGGTGCGGGGGCTCAAACTGCGTCGTCTTGAGCGCTGGGTAGATGACGTGCTTGAGCACGTGCGCCGCCTTCTCGTTCGAGGCCTCGGGGTACGCCATGTCGCTGTACCACAGCGCGAGCGTCGTGCACACGCCTTCAAAACACGCTTCTTCTTCGTCCCAAGGGACGTCTTGGAGCTGCAAAATAAACTCGGGCAGCGCATGCATGGATGGCTCGTGACCGGGCAAAACGACAGGAATGCGCGCCAGCAAGCCCTACGTTCACTCGTCTCCATGTGGCCAAGTCGTTGTGTCGTACCTCGGGCGTAAAGTGTACGCCCAAGTACTCGGCCAGCATCGGCGCCTTGTCGAGCAGCGTCGTTTGAATCGTGCGGGCAATGGCGTCTTTGGGGCCGTCGGCCTCAGTGTACAGATTCTGCGGATTCTCGAGCGCGCAGAGGACGAGATCGAAAATCGGGAGCGGCTCGTGCAGCGTGATGGTCGAGAAGGACCCAAACTGACGCACAATGTGCTGGTACATGAGCGCCATGGCCACGGCGCCATGCCGAACAATGTATAGCTTTTCCAAGTGCTGGATCACGGAGTAGTGGTCGTCGACGAGCCCAACAAACGTGTGTTCGCGAAAGAGCTATCGGTCACGAACGTTATCAGACGCTCGGTAGTTGGAGGCTTGCGTACCTTGGTCAAGCTGCGATCACAGCGCGCACGAATCTGGTCCTTGAGGTTCATGATACTCGTCAAGCTCTGCGGATCCACATCTACATCGTATGTACGCTGGAGACTTGTTGTGTGAGCGCCGAACGGACGTACCCTCGTCGTCGTCATCATGCTCAAGTTCGCCGTCGGCCGTGCTTGGCGTGTCTTGGCTGGCCCGCCGCGGTGTCGGTGGCAGAATTTCGCTCTCGTCCAAGGTCGAGTCCAAGTCGAGGGTGACGTTGGCGTCATCTTCATCGTCCGCGTGGAACGACGTGTCTGACACAAGGAATTGGTCCATCGTCGTCGCTTGGTGGTCGGTGCGCACGAGCCGCTGTGGTGCCTACGCCATACCGATGCGATCCGTGCACTTGATACACTGATATTGTACCTTGGCGGCAACGTACGTTTTGGCTTTGGCTTTGGTCAAGCTCACATGCACCAGCGGCGACGTCTCGTCCAGTGGTCGTTTCTTCGCCTTGCGCTGCGGGGTCGCCTGGTCGTCGGAAGACGCGTCATCGTCATTGTCTTCGTCGTCGGCCGCGCTGTCTTGGGAAAAGAGCGCGCTGGACGGCGCCACGACCCGGCGCGTCACCAAGTGCGACGTGAGCATCGATGCGATGGGCTGCACCGCAAAGACGCGCGACTCGTTCCCGCCGCGGAGCAGTGCGTCGGCGTAGTCCGCGATCGCCTGCACCAGCGTTTCTTCATGCAGGAAATGCACCTCGCGCTTGGTCGGATGGACGTTGACATCGACGTTCATGGGCGGAATCGTCATGGCCAAGTACACGAACGGATGGCTGTGCTTGGGAAGGTACTGCGCGTAGACGTGCTCGATGGCCCGGCGGAGCGTCGGGCACTCGACAAGCCGGTTGTTGATGAAGAGGATGAACGTGGCCTTCTTTGTGCTACGTGGACAACGTTCAAACTCTCACATCATGCAGGTCGACGTCTACTTGTAGTTGGCGTTGGTGATGTAGCCAATTGCCGTCACTGGCTTGTCGTTGCCGACGGGCGTTGCCTCGGTGAACGCGACTGGAATGACCTCGCTTGCAATGGACGGACCGAAAATGGCCTTGATCACGTCTACTTGGCTCGTCCCTTGCGAGATGTTGACGTCGCAAGTGACTTCGCGGTGCTTCTTGCAGACAAAGCCCTTGCCTTGGCTCGCGTAATGCAAGGCGTAGCGCTGGACGACGTCGAGGATGCGCTGGTACTGCTCCGAGACGTTCTTGAGCGCTTGCTTGCGCGTTGTGAGGTTGTAAAACATGTCTTCCACCTACACGAGGTCACTCGACGTCCATGCTGACGCCCATGCATCCTACGAGGATCTGTGTCCCGGTCTTGCCAGCGCAGGGCACGGGGGCTGTCGGACCACCCGGGACCTTGGGCACGAGGACGCCGTCGCGGTAGTGCGCACTGCATTGCAATCAGATCTTGGAGCTCAGAAATAAGGTGTACCGGTACGCGCAGGGCTGGTCGTTCGTCTTGGACGTGATCGTGACGTGCGCGACGTGGGAGACGCTCGAGAGCGCTTCGCCGCGGAAACCATAAGAGGAAATCTCGCGCAGGTCCTCGAACGACCGGAGCTTGCTCGTCGTGAAGCGCTCGCAGACAATGTCGAGGTCCTCGCGTGCAATGCCGCAGCCGTCGTCTGTGATCTGCAGCAGCTTGAGCCCGCCGGCGCCGGCGACGACCGATATCTGGCGCGCGCCAGCGTCCAGGCTGTTCTCAAGCAGCTCCTTGAGCGCGTTCGCGGGCCGATGGACGACCTCGCCGGCTGCGATCTTGTCGACGACCGCTTGCTCCAGCCGCTCGATCCGGCGCGCCATGCTGGGGCCACTTGAATCCAAAACAAAGTGTTATCTAGTGTTATGTATGAAATAGTGTTCTCTTGAATGCTGTTTCGACAA